CCCTGAAGAGATGGGTTTTCAGGGTGCGCCTAAAGGAGAGGAGAGTAGGTGATAATCTGATGGGTTGGGGCAGGGAGTTCCAGAGAATGGGTGACACCCTGGAGAAGTCCTGGAGGCGGGCATGGGAGGAGGAGACCAGGGAACTAGAGAGAAGGAGGTCTTGTGAGGAGCGGAGTGTGCGTGCTGGGCGGTACTTGGATATTAGGTCAGTGATGTAATTTGGGGCAGTATGGTGGACGGCTTTGTACGTCAGTCTTAGGATTCTGAATTTGATCCGTTGGGCAATTGGAAGCCAGTGGAGGGATTGGCAGAGGGGGGTGGCGGAGACGGAGCGGTTGGAAAGGTGAATGAGTCTGGCTGCCGTATTCAGGATCGACTGAAGCGGGGATAGCCAGCAGCGAGGCAGGCCAGTGAGGAGGGAGTTGCAGTAGTCGAGTCGTGATATGATGAGGGAGTGGATGAGCTGTTTAGTGGTTTCTGGGGTTAGGAACGTGTGGATTTTGGTGATGTTGCAGAGGTGGAGTCTGATATTTCTGTATTATTAAAATAGCATTGGGGAACCACCACTACCCCCACCACCACCGCTGCTGCAAGCACAATCTCCTATCTATGGGCCTATGGGGTCAATTCACTAAAGGATTTTGCATGCAATATGAAGGTTAAATGACCCATTTTCAGAAATAGCACATAAGATAATAAGAGAGTCAATTTATCAAAGTAAAATATTGAATGTAAGGTAAATATTGCAAAAAAAAAAAAAAAGATAAATCATTAAAGTCAATTCATTAAAGAACACACACGTTTGTGATTTATCACCTGCCAGCAGGCAGTCGATATTTTACCAGCATAAGAAATAACTATAAGGCCTCACATGCACACTGGATGTTAAAAAAAAAAAACTCTCCTAAAAGCGTTCCTCCTGGCAGCAGCATTTTTGCAGAAAATGGCCTGATGCTTGCAAAAGTGTCTAGCGCTTTTACAAGCATTTAGGCGCGTTTACAGGCATCAATCGCTTGGGCGTTAATACCCTTCATTGGCTGGAATAATAAATGCTAACTGCTCCTAAAGTTAATTCCTAAAGTTAGTGTTTACATGCAGCAAGCATTTTTTCTGCCAAAATGCTGCTGCTCCAGAACGTACTGGCCCTGGGGTTTTTTTTTCACTGCCTCTAAAAGCCCCTGCCACTAAAAGCTTCCAAAAATCATAGTGTGCATGAACACAGAATGACATGGATGGGCATTTGGAAGCTCCTAAAAGTGCATGAGGTCTAAGCCCTGGTTTACACTGAATGCAATTTCATAGTGGTGCGATTTGGTCCCATTTAAAGCATGACTTCAATATAGTGCTGATATAGACACAGGTGCGATTTCAGTATCATTTACCTTATAGTCTATGGAGAGTTCAATCACACTGAAATGGTGAAAAAGTAATGCAGTCACTATTTTTCAAATCGCACTACTTGAAATTGCACCTATTAAGATAGTGCATGTCGCACCTGAAGCCACAGCAGTGTGAATCAGGGATAAAGGGAACTCTACACTGGCCAGTAAATTAAAAGTATACAATGTATCAGTGTGGAGATGTGCCCTGAGCTCAGGTAGGAAAATAAATTATAAATATATCCACAATATATAATAATATTAATAAAAAATAATTAATAGTGTCCAAATAAATTGTGAAAAAAATATCTATATATGTGCAAAAAAAGTCCAAACACCAATAAAGGCGATCTTTTTCTTTGTTTCTTTAAACGATTTTCAATCACAAAATGATATCTCTGTGTCAACCAATAATCAACACCAGATAAATTAAATGAACTCACCAGAGCAATATGCTGATCAAGTTATAAATCAGCATAAGCGCTGAACCCGCTCCCTGAGGACATCTGGTGACGAAACGCGTAGGGAAAAGCTTGTGGATGTGATGTCACAACGTTCCTTGAGCTGTCAGCATCCGTGAAGGCTGGAGAAGGCTGGGTTCGTTTATACTGAGAACGCTGTTTTGTGCTGATGTCGGCTTATACACCGTTTGTGAGTGCAATGATTTATTTTTAAATAAAATATTTGTTTTTATCGATACTGCACTATGAGCGTTTCCTCTCCTAACTTCCGAGTACCATTCTGAGCCTATGAAGAGGCGGGGGTCATACGAATTACTCCATATTGTTGCTTATTCTCCTGCAAAGTATTGCTCCCAGAGCACAAAGCGCTTATGCTGATTTATAACTTGATCAGCATATTGCTCTGGTGAGTTCATTTAATTTATCTGGTGGTGGATTATTTGCACGGTGAATTTGGTTTTTGACACAGAGATATCATTTTGTGATTGAAAATCGTTTAAAGACACAAAGAAAAAGATCGTCATTATTGGTGTTTGGAGTTTTTTTTGCACTTATAAAGATATTTTTTTCACAATTTATTTGGACACTATTAATTATTTTTTATTAATCTGAATATATATTGTGGATATATTTATAACTGGGTTGTTAATATGAAAAACCTGTTACTGATTTTACTGATATATGCACCTTCTAAGGTTAGGTTGTGCAGCTTATTTTTCACTATAGTGTTTAATTTTTGTGGCGCTATCCATATTTTTTGAATAGGAAAATAAATTGCAACATTTCCCCTAGAGGGAGATCATTCTGTGAATTAAATCACCCGAAATCAGTCCGCAAAACACGGTGCGATGTGCAAAATCGTATCACATACAGTGGGGCAAAAAAGTATTTAGTCAGCCACCAATTGTGCAAGTTCTCCCACTTAAAAATATGAGAGAGGCCTGTAATTGGCATCATAGGTAGACCTCAACTATGAGAGACAAAATGAGAAAAAAAATCCAGACAATCACATTGGCTGATTTGGAAAGAATTTATTTGCAAATTATGGTGGAAAATAAGTATTTGGTCAATATCAAAAGTTCATCTCAATACTTTGTTATATATCCTTTGTTGGCAATGACAGAGGTCAAACGTTTCCTGTAAGTCTTCACAAGGTTGGCACACACTGTTGCTGGTATGTTGGCCCATTCCTCCATGCAGATCTCCTCTAGAGCAGTGATGTTTTGGGGCTGTCGCTGGGCAACACGGACTTTCAACTCCCTCCAAAGGTTTTCTTTGGGGTTGAGATCTGGAGACTGGCTAGGCCACTCCAGGACCTTGAAATGCTTCTTACGAAACCACTCCTTCGTTGCCCGGGCGGTATGTTTGGGATCATTGTCATGTTGGAAGACCCAGCCACGTTTCATCTTCAATGCCCTTGCTGATGGAAGGAGGTTTGCACTCAAAATCTCCCGATACATGGCCCCATTCATTCTGTCCTGTACGTGGATCAGTCATCCTGGTCCCTTTGCAGAGAAACATCCCCAAAGCATGATGTTGCCATCCCCATGCTTCACAGTAGGTATGGTGTTCTTTGGATGCAACTCAGCATTCTCTCTCCTCCAAACACAACGAGTTGTGTTTCTACCAAACAGTTTTATTTTGGTTTCATCTGACCATATGACGTTCTCCCAATCCTCTTCTGGATCATCCAAATGCTCTCTAGCAAACTTCAGATGGGCCCGGACATGTACTGGCTTAAACAGGGGGACACATCTGGCACTGCAGGATCTGAGTCCCTGGCGGCGTAGTGTGTTACTGATGGTAGCATTTGTTATCTTGGTCCCAGCTCTCTGCAGGTCATCCACTAGGTCCCCCCCGTGTGGTCCTGGGATTTTTGCTCACTGTTCTTGTGATCATTTTGACCCCACGGGGTGAGATCTTGCGTGGAGCCCCAGATCAAGGGAGATTATAAGTGGTCTTGTATGTCTTCCATTTTCTAATTATTGCTCTCCCACAGTTGATTTGTTCACACCAAGCTGCTTTCCTATTGCAGATTCAGTCTTCCCAGCCTGGTGCAGGTCTACAATTTTGTTTCTGGTGTCCTTCGACAGCTCTTTGGTCTTCACCATAGTGGAGTTTGGAGTGTGACTGTTTGAGGTTGTGGACAGGTGTCTTTTATACTGATAACAAGTTCAAACAGGTGTCATTGATACAGGTAATGAGTGCAGGACAGAGGAGGCTCTTAAAGAAGAAGGTACAGGTCTATGAGAGCCAGAAATCTTGCTTGTTTGTAGGTGACCAAATACTTATTTTCCACCATAATTTGCAAATAAATTCTTTCCAAATCAGCCAATGTGATTGTCTGGATTTTTTTTCCTCATTTTGTCTCTCATAGTTGAGGTCTACCTATGATGCCAATTACAGGCCTCTCTCATCTTTTTAAGTGGGAGAACTTGCACAATTGGTGGCTGACTAAATACTTTTTTGCCTCACTGTAGGTGTGAATACCCAATGCGTTCCGAATTCTAGTGCGGCCAAAAAAAAGGGTCCTGCACCTTTTTGGTGCAGGTTTGATGCGATTAGAGCCATACAAAATGTATGGCTCCAATCGCACCGCACACAATTCGCATGTGATTTGCACAGGAATACGGTGCGCTTCCTGTGCGAATCACATGCGATGTACCAAACCGCATGTATGTGAATCCGGGGTAAAACATTTTTTTTTAGTGAATTGACTACGTGAATTGAAATCAATACAGCATGAATTATTTTAGCTCTGCTTCTTTGGTTGTAGAGATTTCCTTCCACTTCCTGTTGAGTCTCTGGAGCAATAGGAAGCGATGGGAAATTCTCCCCACAGAAAAAAAAACTGACGGGGGTTGTAATCATTCCCAACTTTATGCACAATTAAAAATTAAAAATGGACTTTAAATACAATTTAAGTGGAATCTGTCTAGTTCATTTAATTTCTCAACCTTGTTACAATAGAGGAACCTTTGAAATAACATTCCAGTCTCGGAGAACCCCTGCTATCAATTACTATATCTGCAGCTCACAGTGCATTAGCGCGGTGGCCAGTGGGAAGAATGTTCCTTACATTGGTGGCCAGTGGGAAGAATGTTCCTTACATTGGTGGCCAGTGGGAAGAATGTTCATTATATTGGGGTCAGTGGGAAGAATGTTCCTAACATTGGTGGTCAGTGGGAAGAATGTTCCTTACATTGGGGGTCAGTGGAAAGAATGTTCCTTACATTGGTGGTCAGTGGGAAGAATGTTCCTTACATTGGTGGCCATTGGGAAGAATATTCCTTACATTGGTGGCCAGTGGGAAGAATATTCCTTACATTGGGGGTGAGTGGGAAGAATGTTCCTTACATTGGTGGTCAATGGGAAGAATGTTCCTTACATCAGTGGACAGTGGGAAGAATGCTCCTTACATTGGTGGTCAGTGGGAAGAATGGTCCTTACATTGGCGGTCAGTGTAAAGAATGCTCCTTACATTGGTGGTCATTGGAAAGAATGTTCCTTACATTGGTGGTCAGTGGGAAGAATGCTCCTTACATTGGTAGTCAGTGGGAAGAATGTTCCTTACATTGGTGGCCATTGGGAAGAATATTCCTTACATTGGTGGCCAGTGGGAAGAATATTCCTTACATTGGGGGTGAGTGGGAAGAATGTTCCTTACATTGGTGGTCAATGGGAAGAATGTTCCTTACATCAGTGGACAGTGGGAAGAATGCTCCTTACAGTGGTGGTCAGTGGGAAGAAAGCTCCTTACAGTGGTGGTCAATGGGAAGAATGCTTCTTACAGTGGTGGTCAATGGGAAGAAAGCTCCTTACAGTGGTGGTCAATGGGAAGAATGCTTCTTACAGTGGTGGTCAATGGGAAGAATGTTCCTTACATTGGTGGTCAGTTGGAAGAATGCTCCTTACAGTGATGGTCAGTTGGAAGAATGTTTTTGGAGTTCTTGGACCAAGTAAGCACATCCAGTGTGACCTTGCTCTGTCTTCTGGCTGGTCCAGAGACATCTTAAGGACTTTTCTTGGCAGTCCGGAACAATGCAGAGAATGGCACTTGTGTTATCGTATAGGTGTCATACTTTGCATCTTTTTCCTGTGAGCCCAGGTTGATATGGTGATGCACCGTCAGGGGGAGTGTCTGTGACATTCTAAGCTTGTATGAAGTGGGCCGAATGACCCTCATCCAGAGAACAAGATGGATGACTTACAGTTGACTTTCACTCAAACTCAGCATGTTTAATCCCTTCAAGCCCTCTGCCCTCCATCATCAGAAATGCAGATGTTTTTCTTTTTGCACTCCATCCTGCTCCAATTCTCACCTACTTGGCATCTCTTCTTTTGCTGCAGCCTCCTGGGATATGCCCAGGGGGCATCAGCTTCATCACAGCAGCTGGGGGGGGGGAGTGTACCTAGCAGCACATCATCAGGGGGGCCGCTGCCTGAACCAGAGACAGCTAGCTGCCGATGATATCAGAATGGAAGATGGCGATGCACACCTGGCATGCAGCAGTCTCTTGTGGCGCCTCAATAAAGGGAAACCTCCCTCCCCAGTACTCTTTTTTTTTTTATTTCTTTAAAGAACAGCTTCCCTTCCCCGTTATTTTTTTTTATACTCAGTGTATCCAGCCTTGTCCTGCTGTAATCTGCACCATGGGTCCCACACCTCTTCCCCTCTGATATCATTGAGCACCAACTGTCTCTTTCTGGTTCAGGCAGCTGTCCCACCAGGTCCACCCTCCTCCTGCCGCTCTATGGATGCCATTGCCTCCTTGGATATCTGACATAGATCTCCCAGGGGGCTGTGGCAGTAGCACACACCATTCTCAACTAAGAAAACAGGGAGATGGGGGGTTGGGCTGAATTTTAATTTAAAAAAAAAAAAAAGAAAAAAAAGTTGGTTTCCTATGTTTGTGGAGGGGGAAGGGTTGCATAAGTGCAAACTTCCATTTTGGAGTGAAGGTCTGCTCTAAAGGTCATAGCACCCCAATGTAGCTACACCTAAATGCGATGCAGTGTCCATTTTCTGGTCTTTTCTCATTTCAGATGTTCACCAGCCTTTCAGGTCCAGCACTGCCTTGCCACAATCTGCTGGACCCTACACCACCATCTTGGTCTCCCTGAGTCATCAGAAGCCAGTTGACTCTTCTGGGTTCAGGCAGTCGGCCCCTCAATGACATGGTTTAGCTGTGCCCACTAGCCGCTGTGTGTCCCTACTCCTACAACCTGCAGGATATCCCAGGAGGCTGCAGTAGTAGGGACACGCCATTCCTAGGTGAGAACTATCATGGAGGCAGGGCAGGACAAAAGGACAAAACAAAATTGTAAAAAAGGTGGTGAGTTTCACTTCGGAGGTGGGAGGAAGCTAAGATGGCTCTGGGAGATGAAGGTCCTCTTTAAAGGGTTAAAGCAGAACTAAACTGTATCTGAGCCAAAAAAATCACTATTTAATTTATTGTTAACATTCAAAGCAAACTCCCCCATCCATCCATGTCTCCATGCTTTATTTTGCTGAGAAACCACTTAGAAAAACACCACCCTTGCATTTCTGTCTGTGGGCATCATGATTCATGTAGCATTTACTTCCTGGAATCCATCTGCCTTTAGCTCAGGAATGCAGGCAGGAGGATGTGCTTAACTGAGAAACGCCCTCATTGTAGACAAAAGGCAGGACAAAAAGATGGGCAGGGCAGGACAAAAAAGACGAAAAAAGGTGATGAGTTTCACTGCAAAGGGGGAGGGAGTCCTGGGAGCTAAGGTGGCTCTGGATGATGCAGGTCATCTTTAAAGGGTTACTTCACCAATTGAGTCAAAAGAAAAGTTTAGTTGAGCTTTGACTAAAGGTTAGTTGACTTTTTGAATAATGCCCTAGCTATAGGTGTAGGCCACGGGTGTCAAACTGGCGGCCTTCCAGCTATTGCCAAACTACAAGTCCCATGAGGCACTGCAAGATTGATAGTTTCAAGCATGATTCCCAAAGGCAGAGGCATGATGGGACTTGTAGTTTTGCAACAGCTGGAGGGCCACCATTTTGACACCCCTGGTGTAGGCCATCTACGTACCTCATGAAGCCTGACTGGGACACTCCCAGGACATTGCCAAGTAAAGCCCAGCTTTACTGCTCACCTCCTCTATCATAGGAGCGAGCTCAGAGCAACTGCACCAGGGCAGAGAAAACGCATGTGAGGGGTTAAAATCAGAGAAAGAGCTCTCTCCTGTGATGGTGAACAGTAACAAATAGGCATCTCTTAGCAATGTCCTAGGACTTTTACAGTCAGGCTTCAGAAGGTACGTAAATGGCCTACACCTAGAGCAAGGGAATTATTAGAGTTTGGTCAGAGCTGCACAGTTTCTTTTCATCTACAGACACCCCTTATCTGCATAGGCAGTTTTTTGGTAAAGGTAAACTAACCTTTGAAGGCCTTGTGCACACAGGGTGTACCTTGTGTCAACCGGGATGCAGCGGCTGCACGGATACAGTCACTGCTCCCAAACAAACAACTGTGGGGGTGCAGGTGCGTAGCCCCAAATGCAGACAGTGTGAGTTTGGGGGACAAACATTCCACCTACATGGCTTGGGAGAAGCGGCCATCTTTATGCAGCCATTGCATCCCAACTGATATCAATGGGACGGTCTGCACAGGGATGCATGGAACACCTGTGCACCCCTGCCTGGATAAACACATCCCTCACATGAAGTATGCATTGATATGCCCCTTAACTGCTTCCGCGCCACCCTATAGAAGATATACTGCTACAGGGCGACACAGCTGTGCAAAATCATGTACAGTTGTGTTCAAAATAATAGCAGTGTGTTGAAAAAAGTGAATAAAGCTCAAAATCCTTCTAATAGTTTTTATTTCCATACACACAAATGCATTGGGAACACGACACATTCTATTCCAAATCAAAACATGAAGAAAAATAGATCAAATTTGTGTTGTTCCTCTAAAAAATTTGAAGAAAAGTGAATATTAGACTGTTCAAAAAAATAGCAGTGTTTGTATTCTTCTTTACAAACTCAAACATTCACTATATAAACTGAAAAATGTTTGAAGATTTTTCTTTCCTTTGAATCACTTCATTAATATTTGGTTGTAGTCGCACTGTTTCTGAGAACTGCTGTACATCTGTGTTGCATGGAGTCAACCAACTTCTGGCCCCTGTGATCAGGTATTCCAGCCCAGGATGATTGGACTACATTCCACAGTTCTTCTCTATTTCTTGGTTTTGCCTCAGAAACTGCATTTTTGATGTCACCCCACAAGTTTTCTATTGGATTAAGATCCGGGGATTGGGCTGGCCACTCCATAACGTCAATCTTGTTGGTCTGGAACCAAGATGTTGCACGTTTACTGGTGTGTTTGGGGTCGTTGTCTTGTTGGAACACCCATTTCAAGGGCATTTCCTCTTCAGCATAAGGCAGCATGACCTCTTCAAGTATTCTGATGTATTCAAACTGATCCATGATCCCTGGTATGCGATAAATAGGCCCAACACCGTAGTATGAGAAACATCCCCATTGGCGCTATATAAACTCGTAGTAATAATAATAATAATAATATCATGATGCTTGCACCACCATGCTTCACTGTCTTCACAGTGTACTGTGGCCTGAATTCAGTGTTTGGGGGTCGTCTGACAAACTGTCTCCGGCCACTAGACCCAGAAAGAACAATCTTACTTTCATCAGTCCACAAAATGTTGCGCATTTCTCTTTAGGCCAGTCAATGTGCTCTTTGGCAAATTGTAACCTCTTCAGCACATGTCTTTTTTCCAACAGTGGGACTTTGCGGGGGCTTCTTGTAGATAGCTTGGCTTCACATAGGCGTCTTCTAATTGTAACAGTCCTCACAGGGAACGTCACACCTTCTTTGATCTTCCTGGAGCTGATTGTTGGCTGAGTCCGCGCCATGTTGGCTATTCTTCTATCCATTCGAATGGTAGTTTTTCGCTTTCTTCCACGTCTTTCAGGTTTTGGTTGCCATTTTAAAGCATTTGCGATCATTTTAGCTGAGCAGCCTATCATTTTCTGCACTTCTTTATATGTTTTCCCCTCTCCAATCAACTTTTTAATCAAGGTACGCTGTTCTTCTGAACAATGTCTGGAACGACCCATTTTCCTCAGAATTTCAGAGAGAAATGCACTGTAACCAGCATGTACAATATTTGCTGCCTTCCTTCCTTAAATAAGGGCAATAATTGCCACCTGTTTTTCAAAGAATGAATGACGTCACTAATAGAACTCCACACTGCTATTATTTTGAACATGCCCCTTTCAATTAGTGATTCAATGACACAGAATCAGCAGCATGCATGTCATGACTGTTGGGTCTGTTGAATTTCTATTACTCTACTACACCTGCTAGTAAATTATTTGCCATGTAGAAATATCATTTCTACCAAAAACAGTGATTGATCCGGTTAGTGATGTCTGACTGCTATTATTTTGAACACAACTGTATAGATATATATATATATATATATATATATATGTGATTTTGCAATTCCAGGTAGGGGGCACGCGTGCACAGCATGTGCGCTCCCTACCTGCGCCCTCAGCGGTCAGGGCAGCACAGTGGCTAAATGGTTAGCACTTCTGCCTGGCAGTACTCGGGTCATTGGTTCGAATCCCAGCCACGGCACCACCTGCCTGGAGTTTGTATGTTCTCCCTGTGCCTGCATGGGTTTCCTCCAGGTACTCCAGTTTCCTCTCACACTCCAAAGACATGTTGGTAGGTTAATTGGATCCTGTCTAACTTGTCCCTAGTATGTGTG